CAACATAATGCTGCAGACAAAGTGTTTTTGACCCACATGGGTTCTGTATTTAGGGTGAAATATCATCCATTGCAACCAGTTGTTATTTAACACAGTGGACATGTACATCTTAGTTTTTCTAATACTGTTTGCTTGAGATGCATAGGCAACACGGGATGTAGTATATTTTGTACAAGTTCTCTCAGTCTTTAACTAGCATCTCAAAATGGTCAGTTCTCTCTTAATAAGATCATATTATATTCTACTGAATATAACAGTGGGTCATTTGTGTCCGTCATTTTGGAACGAAAGTGCAAGTAGAAATTGTTGGTCTGTGACAGCTCTACTTACTGGAAGACTCTTTGCTACTCATCCAAGAGGCTTTGGCAGTAAACGTAATCAAGAGTCGACAACGAGTTCACTGTCCTTTTGACTTATTAGTTCTGGATATTTAATTACCTGAAAGACTGAGAATCTTTCATTTTTTTTAATGATCGTATCTGCCTTTGATTAATCACATTGAGGAATGCCAGTTTATAACTCATAGTAAGGGACATAATCATCCTCTGCTTAAATATATTTTAAGTAGTGCAGTTGTTACAACCCAAGAGAATCACTTTTATAAAAATACCTAGAATAACCAAAAGACATTAAGAGTAGCTTAATTCATCTTTAAACATTCTAACTAACGGTAAAGTCTACTAACAGAAGACTCAAGGTGCTGGCCAACATGAAGAAGGAAGACTCCGTGTGATCTTAATCCAACAATTAAACTAAACCTAAAATAAATACAATCAGTGAACACAGGATTACAAATTCACAGGAAAAATACCCACATCACATCAGTCCCAAATACAAGCTGCTGCTGCTGCTGCTGCTGCTGCTGCTACTGCTGCTGAAGGAGGAGGAGGAGGAGGAGGAGGAGGAGGGAAAGACACAACACGCCATGAATGAAAAGCAGATGCACATCCTTTCCAGTATTGTCAAATATCACTGAATCTGAAGTTTGTTATCAATGGACATAAAATATGGACGCTGTGTTTGTTATTAGTTGAATTATTTGTTATAAGAGTGCAAGGGCAGTGTGAGGTGAAATGCGCATGAAGAAGTGCTTTTGTTTCCTTATCCCAAAGAACAGCCCACAGACTTCCACTTAAAGCTGAAGTGTTGTGATTTCTACTTTGTGTTTATTTCTTTGTTTTGAAGGTGTTGTAAGATGATACAGTATAGGATTTTTGATTTCAATTTGTCACAATTTACAAAAGAAATTGGACTATTTTCTTTAATATCCATGATATATTTTCCTGGTTATCTTTCATAACTATTAATGACGGAACGTTTTGGACTGAGCTTTCCTGTATGTTTGTGCCTAAATCAAGATTGGTTCGGTTATGGATAATTTCTGTAAATGTAGTTTTTGTAAAATATGTGAATACAAAAGACTTAATAAACAGAGCTTCAACAGCTTTTTAACGAAACATGGTAATTTAATATTTTGTATCCAGACAAACCCACCTTTGTTGATGCTTTGTTAATGTTTACCACCTTTGCTAATGTAAATCAATATAGGTAATAGGGAAGCCTTCCCAATGAGTAGTGGCCAGTATTTATACATTGGACCTTTTGAGTTGATTAGTCTAATGCAGGGGTGCCCAACCAGTCGATCGCGATCGACCGGTCGATCGCGGGGAGATTCCCAGTCGATCGCGAGATGTGTCTAAAAAAAGAACAACAATATTCTGTTTTCTCGTTAATGTCCTATAACAAAATCTTCCTGTGCCAGAATAATGCACTTGAACGCATCAAAGCTTTGTGATTGGCCGGCTAGACCCCATGTGTCGGGGCGTGGCTGGGGGGCAGTGGGCACTATTTCGCTGACGTTGTCCGTGTCAACAGGAGTGACAGTCCGCACACACACAAGACCGCAATTATGGCAGAAGCAAAAAAGTCCAAAATATATAATTCTCACTCCGAGTGGGAGGATGATTATTTTTGTATCTATTCCAATTCAAAGTCCATCTGTCTCATCTGCAATGCGAGCGTGGCTTTATTGAAGAAGGGTAATTTAGGAGCGGCATTTCAAAACAGTGCACAAACGCTCCGAGACGGAATTCCCTCCTAATTCTGCCCTCCGCTCCCAAAAGGGGAGGGGCCTGAAAGGACAGCTAAATGCACAGCAGTCCATTTTCACCAGGCCCAACAACAAGAGCAAGGCTGCTACCAGAGCATCTTATCGTGCCGACGCGCTTTTGGGGGACAGTAAAAATAACAGTAGCATTTCAACAGGTTTTTGATATGATAACAACTCAAGTTAGATACCGTTATTAATCAGCTGTAAGTTTTAGTTTGTTTGAACTTATTCATTATAATTATTGTACAAAATGGTATAAGAATGCAAACTTAAATTGATTATAGTCTATCATCAATTCAGGTTAAGAAACTAGTGTTGCTTGCATCCTATTTTACAGGCATTTCTTTTTATACTCTAATAAAATGCAACAAAAAAAGGGTTTGATTCTATTAATGTTGTCTTTTTTATTGCACTGTTGCAGCAGATTCCTGTGTAGCTTCAGATCTGAGTTGTCTTATTAGTAAGCCTCATTTATACTTTTGCAGCAACACTATTTTTATATAATGGCAAAGAAAGGGTTCAGAGTCTTTTCTTTTTTCCCTGTGTCATATGTGGCAGCACTGTTCAATGTTTCTTGAAAACATTACCCACTGTAGTGACGTGTGAATAAACACCAACTCTGTATCAACAACACTATTGTGTAACTTCAGTTAAATACTTGTATGTGTGTAGATTAGAAAGAGGTAAGATAAAGGATCTGCAGTATTTTATGAAGTATTCATCATACAAAGGTCAGTTTTATACAAGTAGAAGTGTGTATTCACCTGGTAGTAGGCTGTCAGTAATGGCTACGCCTCTCTATTTGGACTGGTAGATCTCGGCAGACTGGCAACTTTAAAAGTAGCTCTCGGTTCAAAAAAGGTTGGGCACCCCTGGTCTAATGTGTACTGTACCTGTGAGTGCTCTGACAGGCAATCAGACTAAATGACTGATCGGAGTCATATATCAGTCTGATCAAATATGAAATGGTTTCTGTTAATATCAGTTTGCTTTTATTTTTAGTTCTTTAATTAAATGCTTATACATTTCACAAAAAATATAAGGAATGCAGTTTGTTAAAAAAAAAAAAAAAAGAGGTACATGCATATTTAACTTAAATATATTTGTATTGCATTTGGGAGTGGCTATATACAGGACCGTCCTGTACACAACGCCAAATGACTATATACAGGACCGTCCTGTACACAACGCCAAATGACTATATACAGGACCGTCCTGTACACAACGCCAAATGACTATATACAGGACCGTCCTGTACACAACGCCAAATGACTATATACAGGACCGTCCTGTACACAACCCTCTGAAATGGCTATATACAGGACGGTCCTGTATATAAGCTCTCTGAAATGGCTATATACAGGACCGTCCTGTATACAAGCTCCGAAATGGCTATATACAGGACCGTCCTGTAAACAGCTCTCTGAAATGGCTATATACAGGACAGTCCTGTATATAGCCATTTCAGAGACCTTATATACAGGACCGTCCTGTATATAGCCATTTCAGAGACCTTATATACAGGACCGTCCTGTATATAGCCATTTCAGAGACCTTATATACAGGACCGTCCTGTATATAGCCATTTCAGAGACCTTATATACAGGACCATCTTGTATATAGCCATTTCAGGGCTTCTGTGCAGGACCGTCCTGTATATAGCCATTTCAGAGAGCTGTGTACAGGACGGTCCTGTATACAGTATAGCCATTTGGCGTTGTGTACAGGACAGTCCTGTATATAGCCTCGGCCATTGCATTTTAGATCACTATAAAACTGAATTCTCATTATTTTATTGTACTGGTGAATATTAGGTAACAAGTCAGAACATTTGCATTTATGAATATAAAACACTCCATTTACTCAATGAGAAGATTTAAAATACATAACACAACCAAACGGCACATATAATGTTTGCCTTCATAAACAATAACACTTGCTTTCCGTAAACACATCTTAATCCCACATAACAGTGTTGCCTACTTGTTATATCCAGAAAAAAGTTACTAGGCTTGTTTGAGACAAGCGAGACCTGCGCAGACCTGCGCAATTTCGATCAACGTCTTGCTCGTGCGTTGCATGATGGTTAGTCATTTTGTCCGACTTGCTCTGGAGGCTCGCCTACATGAGACGTTGAAATCTCGCGGGACAAAGACGCCCGCAGCCTTGAGAGCGAGGCGCGGCGAGGCGGCACAGTTCCTCTCCACGGGCAGCGGAAGCTAAATGCTTGATGGGAAACGACTCGCTGGTATCTCGAGCTGAGCGCTCATTGTTGGTTTTTACCACGTGCTGGTGATGAAACTCTCCAATTGGCTCGGCAAAAGTTTGTTGTTGTTTTGTGTCAGTTTTACGTCACTACTTCCATTCCCATTTTTCATCATTGTTCCACAATGTTTATCATCATGAAATTAATATCCATATATTTTATACTATACTTGCAATGTTTACCGTTTTCATACTTTATATATCTTAGCATATTCATACACACTGTTCACACTGCTCACAGGCTGCTGTGTGTATCTGGTGTGTTCATACCCCTCACTGTTTATTCATCATTCAATTAATTCTATATTTTATTCTGTAGATTGTGTCCATTACTTTTCACTTTACTGCTTGTTGTACCTGGTTAGAAGCTAAACTGCATTTCGTTGTCTCCGTACCTGTAATATGTGCAATAACAATAAAGTTGAATCTAATCTTGAGCAGGAACAAATGTATTTTCTTAGTACATATCTGACATTAACGATTAAACACATGTGTGCATTCTTTATAAATGCAAACCAAGTCAAGCCGACTCCGGAGGTGGCGGTATGCACCTTAAAGTTGTTTGCAATCCGCAAGAAATCCGAGAGAAGAAGAAGACGAAGCCGACTCCGAGCTGTCCGACTTCAGGCGAGCTTTTTGAGACCTCCCCCGGCTGCGATCGGCTATTCTCGTCTACTTTCGAGGCGAGCCGCAACGCGTCTCAAACAAGCCTAATATCTGAGAGGGGTGTGTACTTTTACTGATGCATTGATGTCATCGGCCAACAGTAGCAGCCAACAGATCAGCCACGTGTGCTTATTATCACTACCCGATCCGTACCCTATCACACAACCTGTGCTTCACCTATAGGCTGTATGAAGGTATATACGGGTATCAAACCTGCTTGTCATCACAGTAAGAACGATGTCTGGTAATAAATCTGTCAAAAAGGACACGTTTTAAACGAAGTTCTGAACAGGCATCTCCACAGTCACCTATACTGTCTAGTCCAATCTGTAAACGTCCTGATATCGACATTTTAAAACACAGATTAAAACGCGTACTGAATGCGGATACAAGTATTCTAAGGCTAACATACTATACCATAAACATACTAAAAGATGAATGTGAACCACACGTGTATAAAGAGAACGAAGAGTCGAAGCGATCACACTTTCCATTTCCTGGTCCGTCCACAGTGGGTCCTCAAAGACGCCTCTATCCAACACACTGGACGATCACCAGCTAATCTCCTACACCGGTTGTCATTCATTTATCTCACTCTGGGAATACTTTACGAGACCATCTTTCGGGTGTGTTTGCCACAGGTAAGTGATTAAAAATAGTAAACTAGCGTATTAGCCTTTGGGGGTTACGCCATGGATGAATGGGTGACGCTGATGTGAACTTCAGCTCTGACGCGGTCTAAACTATACATAGTTTACTCACGTGTAGGTGGCTTCTTGAAGCTGTTTGACAGGACACAGGAGAAAAGTACGACTCTTAAAAAACATATCAATGCAGTTGTTTAGCTTCCTACTTAATTAATTAAGTAATGACTAATAGTGGGATTAGACTTGGTGTGTGATGCTAATGTTAGCTAGACAAACATTACCCTTTAAACATAAGAGTGTAACTTTATTTGATAAACATGTTTTAATATAAGCAGTAGAGTCAAATGTTCGACAAGGTGCATTACTCTAGGCAAACACAGGGAAGGAGGAAACCCCTGAATAGTAATTGTGTTTTTCTTCATTGATATGAGCCATGCCATTTTAATGAATAAAAGTAAAAAGGCTACATCAGAAGGGGAAATAAATAATAATAATACCACTAATTTAAATTAACATGACGTGGTAAACCATAGTAATTGTGTTTTGCTGCCATGGAAACTAGAATTATGACGCATTAGTCATAGTTAGATAGTTTAGATGAGGAGGAAACATTTAGTAGGACAGTCCCTCCCCAGATTACATATCCTGGGCCAGATCCTGGAAAGAAAATCATTTATGAATTCTGTAAGGTCAGTCTTGAGCACAGACCTTACATAATGCTAAAGACGGAAATCACTTTATAATGTATTATTGAAAGATGATTAACATTGAAATTAATATATAAGTGTTTCCTTGTCCAACTAGTTTATCTCCTGGAGTGTGGCAGTAAAGTAATGAAAACTTTTTTTACCAAGTGAAACTTTATTTGTCAGGTCAAAGTTCTATGTGATATACAACAGACAAATCCAGTCTGACGGGCTGATATATTCTGTGTCATATTTCCTGTATTTTCCATATACCATTTGTCATGGGTGTGTGTTGGTGCATTTACCGGTTACTTACTGCCTATGTGTGTGTTTCCGTAGAAGAGATTGTGGAATGCTGCTAAACGAGACTCCAATTTTTGAGCCCTCCCTCCTCCAGGAGCTGGACTGGAGTAGCAACACTGTCCCTTTCTCTCCCCCCATCTCTCCCTCCAGCCCGGGGGAGGGCCTGGTGCTGAGGCCCCTCTGCACGGCAGACTTCCACAGGGGTGAGTCAAATACTGCATACACAACATATTACAGACCAGCATTTGATGTGGAAAGCATGTTTGTTGTTCCTTGGCATCCTGCTGAGGATCTTGGGAATTTCATATTTTAATTCAACATTTATATAATTTAATAAGAGTTTTTGTGTTCTAGGATTCTTCAAAGTTTTATCTCAACTCACCACAACGGGGGACGTCACACCAGAGCAGTTCACGAGTAAGTCGTGCTTAGCATAATGCTACATTTACCACTTGCAGTTTTCATATTTAAAATCCTAAAGTGTTACCAACTTGCATCTTGTGCCAAAACAATCACAACACATACATATTTGACACGCATTAGATCACATATTTGAGAAGAGAGAGAACCCTTATCCTAAAAAAATAACTTTATATACAATCCTGTGTAAGGAAAGATCAGTGAACTGTTTATTATCTGATTGCTTCCAGAAAAGTTTGATCATATGAAGAAGTCAGGAGACTACTACGTCGTTGTGGTGGAGGACACAAACCTGAGACAGATCGTTGCCACAGCCACCTTGATCACAGAACATAAATTCATCCACTCCTGTGCTAAGGTAAATTACATCCCGTAAAGCTATTTGAATTTCCTCTAAAGAAGTTACTTATTAATGAAGTGGTTATCAGAATGGTGACTAGTATCACCATTGTTCCTAACCATAAGAAAAGTTCCAAATACTTTTTGGTTCACTTGTAACTTTGTAAATTCAATTTGAATAATAACCATAATGTTTTTAATGGATATCCTCTATTCTGTTTCATTTGTAGAGAGGCCGGGTGGAGGAAGTAGTAGTCAGTGACGTGTGCAGAGGGAAGCAGCTGGGTAAACTGTGAGTATAGAGAACCTTCTCTTTGTCAAAGCTAGTTGAGTAGCACTTGAAATGTTTTGGCTCTTTGAAACCTGATGTACTTATATGATTCTGTTTTCTTCAAGTTTGTATCTTCTTGGTCAAATGCACTTATTGTAAGTCGCTTTGGATAAAAGCGTCAGCTAAATGCAATGTAATGTTATGTCCCACAAATCAAACATCACAAACATAATGCAGTTATTTAGGATTTTAATGAGCTTTATTTTCATGTTCCTCTCTGTTGTTTTCTCTCTGTCCCTGTAGGTTGGTTTCAGCTCTTACTCTTCTCAGCAAAAAACTGGAATGCTACAAAATCACACTTGAATGTTCACCCACCAATGTGGCTTTCTACCAAAAGTTTGGCTACACCGCATCGCACGAGACTTACATGCAGTGTCGATTTCCCAACTAAGGACAGCAGCAGCTTTAAACCTCCGTTTTTGGAGGGGATGGACCACACCTTTATCTACTCGCTGAAACATCAAAACAAAATGTCTTAAGAATTAGGAGAGCTGGCCATGGATGAGTCAGTGGTTGTGATCCTGAACTCAACACTGAGTAAACATAAATGGACGTTGAAGCCGTATGGTACAACAGCATCCTCCACCCCTTTGGTAACCATAGCTACCCATAGCTACCTCACCAGAGTGGAGCTCTGCCATCATCTTCCTCCAACATCCGAAGAAACGAATGTCAGTTACTCTAAATGTCTTCTCGTTGTGTTTCTAACAATAAGTTGTTTTCTGGGAACTTACTAAGAAAATAATGATCTTTATGACTTATCCAATTGCCAGTAAATACAATTGCTTAGGATTTATAGATGACATTTAAGTTGTTACTTTTTATAATATGTTCTTTGGTACAAAGTGCTCTATATGCTTGACAGTACTGTTGCTGGATAACTAATGAAGGTTTTAACACTACAAGACATGAATCAGTAATATCAAGACTGTTAGTGTAATGTATAATATTTCTAGTGAAAAAAAAGGTTTATATTTTGTGCATCAGTGGTGAGGAATTAACATTTTGTATTTGGCCGACATTTGAATTTTGATCCCAGGTGTGATAGGAACATGTGAAAGAAACATTTTGTGATGAGAAATGGATAAAAAATGATTTTTATTAATGGACTATTATTTAAGTTGTATAATTATGCTGTTATTCTGGAGTACAGTAAAGTTAAAGTAATTTATTTTCCAAATATGAAATAATCACATAAAATATTCTATGATCTGTGTTTGTTTTCCTATTTTTCTACTAATTCAAATGTACACACATTTGTTTTATATGAATGTCTTCTTATAGTTGTGGCAAAGTATTTCAATCTATATATCAAATGGATCTCTAAGCCTTGCAAAGAATTTAGAAATAAAAAGCAACTCGACCATGTGATGTTTTTTACATAAATTCTGATGCAACAATTCCAAGGCAAGTTTATTTATATAGCACATTTCAACACAAGGCAATTCAAAGTGCTTTACAAAAATGAAAGACATTAATAGCATTAAGAAACATATTATGAAATGGTATCTAAAAACACTCATTTAAAAGCAATGATATAAAATGGCATTTAAAAACACTCATTTAAATGCAAAGATACATGAAATCACAGTTACAGTGCAGTGTGAGATACACACATCTGAACGAACCCCCCTTTGTAAAATTATAATATGACCCCATGGTACCTTTTAGTTTTCGCCAAAACTATTCCTCTTTTTTATTTGAAATGCACATAGTTAAGTTTACCTTGTCTTTCTAGGAGTTTTTTTAGTATCCTCTGTGAACCAGGGTCTTGAAACCAAAACTAATTCCTGTACCGCATGGTACCTTTTTAGTTTTCGCCAAACTATTTCTCTTTTCTTTAAATGCCCATTAGTTCATTTTAAGTTGTCTTTTCTAGGACTTTTTTGGTGTCCTCCGCGAACCAGGGTCTTGAAACCTGGATGGTTCATAATTTAGCAGGAGGTCAGAAATGTATTTTGGGGCTAAACCATTCAAAGCTTTATAAACCAGCAGCAGTATTTTGAAATCTATTATTTGACACACAGGAAGCCAGTGTAAAGACTTCAGAACAGGAGTGATGTGATCCACTTTCTTAGTGTTAGTGAGGACTCGAGCAGCGGCGTTCTGAATCAGCTGCAGCTTTCTAATAAATGTTTTAGTGAGACCTGTGAAGACACCATTGCAGTAGTCCAGTCTACTGAAGATAAAAGCATGGACAAGTTTTTCCAAATCCTGCTGTGACATTAGTCTTTTTATCCTAGATATATTCTTTAGGTGATAGTAGGCTGATTTAGTAACTGTTTTAATGTGACTGTTGAAACTCAGGTCAGAGTCCATGACTACACCTAGATTTCTGGCTTTATCTGTTGTTTTGAACATTGCAGACTGAAGCTCTGCGCTAACTTTTAAAACATTCTGCCTTGGCTCCAAAAACCATTACATCAGTTTTATCTTTGTTTAATTGGAGAAAGTTCTGACACATCCAGTCATTGATTTGTTCAATGCACTTACTCAGTGTTTGAATTGGAGAATAGTCTCCTGGTGAAATGGTTATGTAAATGTGGGTGTCATCCGCATAGCTATGATAACTTATTTTGTTGTTTTGCATTATCTGAGCCAGTGGTAGCATGTAGATGTTAAAGAGAAGAGGCCCCAAGATGGAGCCTTGAGGTACCCCACATGTCATATTTGTCAACTCAGATGTGTATTTACCTATAGAATCAAAGTTGTTTCTGTCCTTTAAGTAGGATTCAAACCAATTTAGAACTGTTTCCGAATGTCCCACCCAGTTTTCCTGTCGGTCTAGTAATATGTTGTGGTCAACAGTGTCAAACGCAGCACTGAGATCTAATAATACTAACACTGAAGTTATGCCACTGTCTGTGTTTAAGTGGATGTCAATGAAGACCTTTACAAGAGCAGTCTCAGTGCTGTCGTTCGGACGAAATCCTGATTGGAAACCATTGAAACAGTTATTTAAATGCAAGAAATTACTCAACTGTTGAAAAACTACCTTTTCAATGATTTTACCTATAAATGGCAGTTTTGATATTGGCCTGTAATTGTTCATTACTGAAGCATCTAGATTATTGTTTTTTAAGAGCGGTTTAATGACTGCAGTTTTCAGGGCCTGTGGAAAAACATTTTTGAAAAATCCTGTTGGAATAATATCAAGGCAGCAGGAGGAGGATTTCAGAAGTTGAATAATGTCCTCTAGGTTTTTATCATTAATCTGATGGAATTGTGTCATGGTGTTTGAATTGATTTTAAGTGGACACAGGGACAACACATTTGCTGTACCTGATGCAGAGGCACTGACTGCTTGTCTGATTTTCTGAATTTTGTCAGTGAAGAAGGAGGCAAATTAATTGCAGGCCCTGGTGGATAGAAATTCAGAGGCTACTGACACTGGGGGGTTAGTTAGTCTGTCAACGGTAGCACGTGCGTTGTTTTTGTTTTCACGGTCATGGCCTTTCTCCATGGAGATATTTTCTTGCCAGTCACTTCCTTTACCTTAGTTGGAGCAATGGCATCTATAATATTTTTTATTTTTGAAATTAAAAATTATCTACTAGCTCATTTACTGAGATGTTAGTAGGGGCAAGTGTGGAAGAAAAATTCTGAGTAAACATTTCCGTAGTATTTTCAGTTAAATATCGCTTTGTGGTTACCTCTTTTTGAACATTTGTGTGAACAGAAATAGAGCTCTAAAAGAAAACACAGGAATGATCAGAGTGCAACATCAGTCACCACAACCTCAGAGATATTCAGACCCTTTGAGATAATTAAGGCCAGAGTGTGCCCCATTGTGCGTGGGCTCCGTCACATGCTGAGTCACTCCATAGCTATCAAGAACACAAAACAGTTCTTTAGCCCCTCTGTCCTGGGGGTTGTCAACATTGATCTTAAAATCACCAACAATGACTAGACGGTCAAAGTCAATACACACTATAGACAGCAGTTCGGTAAAGTCACCAAAAAAGCTTGCACAGTATTTGGGTGGTCTATAGATATTTAGGAACAGAGCTCGAGAGGAGCATTTCAGCTGAAGGGCCACATATTCAAAGGAAGCAAAGTTCCCATAAGATGTCTTCCTGCATTGAAGGGAATCATTGAACAAAATAGCAACTCCACCTCCTCTCTTATGCATTCTTTCCTGACTCATAAAACTAAAGTTGGGAGGGGTTGATTCGATAAGAACAGCTGCACTGTTATTTTGTTCAATCCAAGTTTCCGTTAAAAACAAAATCGAGATTGTGCTCAGTGATAAAATCTATGATTAAAAACGTTTTTCCTGCCAATGATCTGACATTTAATAAAGCTAGTTTAAGTTTGTTAAATCATATCAGACAGATTTTTTGTGGCAAGCTGTGGCTGACATGGAATCACTTCTAAATGTGATAAACTCACACAAACTTTTGAGCCCTTCCTGTTTCTAAGGTGATTCACCGCTCTTAATCTATTACTTATCAACACAGATATCGGCAAAGCTATAGGCAGGCAGGGCCCCGGCATGTCCTGGAAAGAGTTGAGAGTGCCATACGCCCTTGAGCCTGGACCCAGCACATATTAGTATGAGTTTGCTGCGTTTTGTACACACACACATTCTTATCAGGCTTCGGTGACCGCAGATGGTGTCTTGAAGGGGGGGCGGTGGTTGACGTAGGCACGGTGATGAAGACGGGGGAGTTGGTGCGCGTCTGGGCGTTCCAAAGCTATATTGTCTGCACAAAGTTGTTCAAAATGAATTCAAGCCTTTAAAAAGGCAATATGGATAAAAAGTAACATTCCATTATTAGAAACAATACTGGAAATATTTTTTATAGGAATAAAAACCCAGTACTCAGTCAGACTCTTTTTATTAAGCAGTGAGTTGTTATTTTTCCATTCATTACTATACCACATTAAGCCTGATATTAGTCCTTAATCCTATTACTCCCAAAATAAAGGCATTAGCTTTTCCTCTCTTCGTGTCTTCCACCGGGCGGCGTCCTGGCTACTTTCCATTTTGCCAGCCGCCCCCTTCTCATCTTCTACACAAATTCAAGTATCGAAAGTGCATTATTGCAATACTGTCCCGCTGCAAATGCAAAATGCTTTAAATACTATAAAACTGCAAAAATTCTCCCATCAGTGCATTCAGCTTGAGAAAAAAAAGGAGTTATCAAATCGTCCCGTTCCCCGACAGTGCTGCATGTCTCAGATACGAGCACCCCCCCCCCCCCCACCCCGGTCCCTTCCCCTTAGAAAAAGTTCAAATATTTACAACATTTTTAATCCCATTAAAAATGTGGAAAAAAAATCGAGTGCACAGCTATCAGCACAGCTCATCCGTTGTGCGCTGCTGTGACATGCATCGACCCAAAGTCCTCATCTTCCTCCAGGCTGCGCTTACGGCTTCCTGAAACATAAATGTAGAAACCAAAAATAATTTAATTATAATAAAAAAGAATGAGATATTTTCCAAGTGTAGGTGGACATTAGTTTCTCTTACTGTCTTGTAAACGGAAAAAAATCATGACATTGAGAAAGAGGATGCAGTATGTTATGAAATCACCCACAAAGGATTTGCTGGTTTTCTAGCAAATGAGAGCCAGCCTCCTTGTCGATTCAAAGAAAAACTATAACCATTAGGAGCTACTGTCTCTTAATCATCGTCAATAACGAAACACTGATGATAAATTAAGTCAGCAATCCTGTAAGTCAGTCTCAACAATGTGCTAAACGAACAGCTAATGCTATTCCCCTCCCTGGAACGCATCAAACCCGTTTAATATGCTTTCTAAAATAGTCTGGCAGTGAATCAAAAACAAGGGGAGGGGTGTGGCTGACTGGTACATTGGGTACAAACCTGTCATCCCAGCTTGTAAGGAGAAGGACCGGCCCAGCTGCATCGGGGACATCATCTTAATGGTCAACTTGGCTAAGTAGATTGCTTCATATTCCTATAAAAAAAAAGAAATACTACATTTAGTTTTGTGACAGGTGCTCCATGTTAGAATACATTGAATGAAAAACGCTTATCGAGGGCTCTAAATGTGTGTGAATGTTTGTTTATTTTATGTAATGTAAAAAGGAAAATCCATGACATTGAGAAAAGATTAATACATTATGGTATGAAATCATCAACAATGGATTTCTGTTTTTCTAGCAAAACCAGCCTCCTTTGGGATTCAAATTAGGGCTGCTCAATTAAATCGTATTTTAATCGCAATTACGATTATGGCTTGCAACGATTACGAAAACAACGTAATCGAAATAAAACGATTATTTTTGTATTATTACTACTACTTTTTTGTTTTTAAATAACATTTTCTTTTATTGGTTTTTCCGTTGAATTATACTTTAAGTTCAGGGTAATCAACTGTTAAAAACATACTGTTCAC